TAAAATCAAAGTGAAAAAGCGCTTCACATACTTCCAACTATAATGGCACAGGATATGCATTACCATTTCAAAAGGGGGAAAAGGGATCATAGTGAGGAAATGCTGGACCAAGCAAGAATGCTGGACTAAGCTGAACAAACTCCAAACTCTGCATCTCCATTTCTGATGTCAGAAAGCTCTTCAGATCTCCAGCTTCTTTTGCCTTTGTGTTTCTCTTGGGCTGGTTCCACTTCCTGTTAGTAGCCTCCTTGGCAGGTATCCCGTGGCTTTGGCATCTCCAACATTTTTGTGTCTCCAAACCTTGAGAATCCAGGCCTCACCTTCACAGTTTCACGCAGTGGCCTCTGTAGTCCTCCCTGCAGGGACAGCCCCTGTACATGCCTGGCTTCAGTGGCTTTTCTTAGTCCTAGAGGGAGATTCTGTAATGCCTTTCTTTTAACCTTGACTCTAAAGCCAGAATCATGTGAAGCTGAAGCTGCCACTTGGTTCTGCTGCTTGCTGGGCGCTCTTCATTCTATTACATCTTTACCAGTTTTCTGCTTTTAGTGGTTTCCTTCATAGCCTAAGCTTGGCTGTTCTGGAACTTGCTCTGTAGACCCGGCTGGTCACTGTTTTCCTAACCCAAAGTTCATATTCCTCTAAACAAAAATGTCATCTAGCCTATCACAACAATGCCCCAGTTCCTGGTACCAGCTTCTGTCTTAGGGTATCTATTGCTGTGGAGAGAAGCTATGACCATGCCAATTTTTATAATGAAAATATTTAATTGGGGCTGGCTAATAGTTCAGAGGTTTAGTCCATTATTGTCATGGCAGGAAGCATGGTGGCATGCAGACAGACATGTGCTAGAGAGGTTACTGGAGTTCTACATCTTGATCTGCAGGAAGAGACAGTGAGCCACACTGGACTATCTTGAGATCTTCAAAGCCTGCCCCTCCAGTAACCCATTTCCTCCAAAAAAGCCATACCTGCTCCAGCAAGGTCTCCAAATAGTGCCACTTCCTATGAGACTATGGAGCCATTCACAGTTTCCAGGCAGCATCATATAAAAATCTGGATTTCCTTTTTTTTTTTTTTTCCAATAAAGGTCAAGATTTTCTGGAAAGACAAACATTGTTTGGAGTTAAGTGTTACCCTTCTATGACATGTATATTTCAATCTGCTACATAGATAGTACATTTGCCTAAATGTTCAATGTATAAGGTATCTATAAATGAAGTTCTGATTGCAGGAAGAAAAGAACATAAAATCCAGAGGCACATTTAGGAAATATATCAGTTAGTGAGCTTCTTCGTGACTGAAGAAAAAGAAAGTGTCTTTGTTCAGTTTATGAGATTGTTTTTTAATTAATTAAATACATCATTTATATATTTGTCTGTATTTGATTTGATTGTTTTTACTGTGTTGATATATGCACCATATGGGTGTGTGCAGTGCTTTTGGAGGCCAGAGGAGGGCATTGGATCTTCTGGACCTCAAGTTACAGATGATTGTGAGCCAATGTATAGGTGCTTAGAGCTAAACGGGGGCCCTCTGCAAGAACACCAGGGCTCTTAACTGCTGAGCTGTTTTTCCAGCCTTAGTTGACAGAATTGTGCAATATCTGAGATATTATAGTTTTAAAAAATATTGTTTGGTACTTTTATATGCGTGTGTGTGTGTGTGTGTGTGTGTGTGTGTGTGTTTGAGTCAAAGATTATTGCGTAGCCTAGGCTGTCCCTGAACTTAAGCCTTCTGCTTCTTTCTAAGTGTAGGGATTATATATGTGACATCTTGTCTGGTCTTTTTCATTTTACCTTTGTTTTGTTTTATTTGTTTGTTTTTATGTTGTATTATTTATTATTGTCAGCATTATTATTTATTGTCTGAATGTGTAACGTGTGAGTGTGGGTTTGCATGTACCATAGTGCATGTGTGAAAGTCCATAAAACCCACAGTTTATTCTCCAGAATTGGAAGAAAAGAAAAAAACAACTACAAAAAAAAAAAAAAATTTAAAAAGTTGTGTTTCTTTAAGTGGGTGACATTTTTTTATTTAGTTGCAGTTTTAATCAGAAAGGACATAACATTAACAGACTTGAGATGCTGCAAATATTTTCCAGCAGGAATCCATGGATCTCTGTGTGTGTGTTGTTTAATGTGCTTTGTTTCTGCTAGTTTTCTTATAACATGCTAAAAAAATTAAGATATAGTAGGACATGCAAATGTTTATGCACAAAATGTAAAAGTTCCAAAATTACTTTATAGTTTATGTAAAGTCATTGTGTAGGCAACCATAAACATACAAATTATATTTCTTCTCTAAGGTCACCATTGAAAGGCTTTTCTCTTCCCAGACTGTATTTGTATTCCCCAGCATAAAGTTTATTTGCTGGTCCTCACTTACATTATTTTTTATTTCTTTCAATTATGTATGTGTGCGTTTGAGGTTAGGTATATACAAGTACAGGTTTCTGCTGTAACCGGAAGCATTGTATCCCCTGGACTTGGAGCTACAGACAGTTGTGAGCAGCCCGGTATGGGTGCTGGGAATGGGACTGGTCTTCAGAAAGTGCTATTGACCTCCTATCCCTTGTCTGCGTTAAAGTGGGATTATTTTACTTCCAGAATAACAACAGAATCAGTAGTTGTGGAAAGCTTAACACTTTGGCTCCTTTGAAATTCATTAGAATTTGAATTTGAGATCCCAGTTAGGTTTTTTATTTTTTATTTTTATTTTTTGTCAGTTTGCTCAAGTTTGTCAAGAAGCTCAAGTTATCTGGGAAGAGAGACCTCAGTTAAGAAAAGTCCCCATCTGATTGGCATGTAGGCAAGTTGAAGGGGCATTTGTTGCTTGATTCTTGCTGTGGGAGAGTCTTGTTCACAGAGGGTGGTGCTGCCCCTGGGCAGGTGGTCCTGAGTTATATAAGAAAGCAGAGCAAGCCAAATGCAGTACTCCTGCCTGGGCTCTGCTTCATTTCCTGCCCTGACCTCCCTTCATGATGGACTGTGTACGACTAACTACAACTGAAGTAAACCCTCTCCTCTCCAAGTTGTTTTGGGCCTGGTGTTTTCTCAGAGCAATCAAAACCTAACTAGGACAGTTGAGTTTAATGGCAAATGTTTAATAATCCTGGCTCTTAGTAGTCTTAAGCAGGAAGGTAGTCAATTCAAGAACACCCTAAACAACTTGCAAGACCCTATCTAAAAAAAAAAAAAAAAAAAAAGTAATGATGTATAGGATCTCTGAGAATAAAATACCTATGCTTTCTAAATCTCTTTAAGGAAGCAAACAAGCTAAGTTATATTGTATTGCGTAGTCTAAAAACGTTACCATCTCGATTTTTTCCTAATTATGAATTGTGTCAAAACTTAACGAAATTTACAGCTTAAGATAGATTGCATAGCAAAAACAACACATTACAAAAGAGCCTGAGAAGTAACATGGTATCTCTATCAGAGGATTGGCTAGAAGAAAAGTTTTATTACAGTTAAAATCGCACTAAAGGTGAGACTATAGTTTGGCCTGTAATGTGATTGTGCTCTAAAGAATGTGTTTGTAATGAAATGTAAGTCTCAAGTAGTATAGTAAAATAATCAGAATGGAGATTTTTATATATAAAGGATAAAAATATAAACACTTCAGGGAAATCATAGCATAGCTTCAGAATTATTATTGCTAAATACCTTTTTATGAATTTTAAATGAATGTGTTTTTATTGCGGGAGATATTGGTGGAAATGAATTTTTATTTTCCTATAGGTAACAGCTATGTGGAGATAGCATTGTAGATTTAGAGGTTAGGAAATTCTGAAATTTCTATGATAAGTTGCACTGCAGGTTATATATGATTACTCTGGGATTGTTGCAGCCGCTCCTAACTTTTAGCTGAGGGTGTGGTTTGAATTAGCTATCAAATTCAACTCTTAAAAAAAGCAGAAAAAAAATTATTTATTTATTTATTCATTCATTCATCTATTTGTTTATTCAACCATTTATCTACCTACCTAACTACCTAACTACCTACCTAACTACCTATTTATTTATTTATTTATTTATTTATTTCTCTATTTATCCATTTATTTATTTATTTATCCATTTATTTATTTATTTATTTATTTATCTATTTATTTATTTACCTATTTATTTATTCATTTATCTATTTATTTACTTATTTACTCATTTATTTATTTATTCATTCATTCATTCATTCATTCATTCATTCATTCATTCATTCATTCATTCATTCATTCATTATGTAGTGCTCTGCCTGCATGTGTGCCACCAGGCCAAAAGAGGACACCAGATCTCACTGTAGGTGATTATGAGCCACCATGTGGTTGCTGGGAATTGAACTCAGGACCTTTGGAAGCTCAGCCAGTGCTCTTAACCTCTTAGTCATCTCTCCAGCCTCAAATTCACCTCTTAATTTGAACTTTAATACACAAGATATGCTTAAATTATATATAATATATATATATATATATATATAATATATATAATTGAACCATTTTAAAAAATAGAATTTGTAAAGAGAATTGGTCTTTTTTAATTAAATTTTTATTTTTTTATATTAGTTACAGTTTATTCACTTTGTATCCCGGCTATAGTCCCCTCTCTCTTCCCCTCCCAATCCCACCCTCCCTTTCTTATCTCCTCCTATGGCCCTCTCCAAGTCCTTGGATAGGGGAGGTCCTCCTCCCTTTCCATCTGACCCTAACTTCTCTGGTCTCATTAGAACTGGCTGCATTGTTCTCCTCTGTGGCCTGACAAGGCTGCTCCCCCATCTGGGGGAGGCGGTCAAAGAACTAGACACTGAGTTCATGTCAGAGACAGTCCCTGTTCTCCTTACTAGGGAACCCACTTAGATACTGAGCTGCCATGGGCTACATCTGAGCAGGGGTTCTAGGTTATATCTATGAATGGTCCTTGGTTGGAGTATCAGTCTCAGAAAAGAGCCCTGTGCCCAGATATTTTGGTTCTGTTGCTCTCCTTGTGGAGCTCCTGTCTTTTCCAGGTCTTAAAAATATGGAACACTTCACAAATTTGTGTGTCATTCCTGCGCAGGAACCATGCTAATCTTCTCTGTATCATTCCAATTTTAGTATATGTGCCGCCGAAGCGAGGACGAGGATTGGTCTTTTTAAGAATTACTTTATTGGGGGCTGGAGAGATGGCTCAGTGGTTCAGAGCTGTCTGGTATTCCAGAGGTCCTGAGTTTAATTCCCAGCAACCACATGGTGGCTCACAACCTTCTATACCAGGATCTGATGCCTTCTTTTGGCTTGTAGGTTTACATGCAGATAGAGCACTCATATACGTAAAAATAAATAAATCTTTTAAAAAATGTTTATGCTGGGTTTGGTGATACATGCCTGTAATTCCCGCCAATTCTGGTAGTCAGAAGCAGGTGGCTCTCTTTGAGTTTGAGGCCAGCAGGGTCTACAGAGTGAGTCCAGTACAGCCAAGGCTACACAGAGAAACGCTGTCTGGGGAAAAAAAATTGTTACAAAAAAAAATTACCTTATTGGTCATTAAGATGGCTCAGAGGGTAAAGGCCTCTGCTGTTGAACTTGATAATCTAAGTTCAGTCCCTGGGAGCCACAAGGTAGAGAAAGCTGAGATCTATACGTTGAGCAATTATCTCCACATATGCATAGTGGCAGATGCAGGACCCATCCCACACAGTAAGAATGACCTTAAGGGCTCATAAGATGGTTCATCAGATAAAGGCCTCTGCTGCCAAGTCTGGCAGCTTGAGTTTGACCCACAGCCCACACGGTGGAAGTAAGACAACTGACTCCCACAAACTGTCCTCTGACCCGCCTGCACATACCTGTCATTACATACTGTGTGAGGGTTGGGGATTTAGCTCAGTGGTAGAGCACTTGCCTAGCAAGCACAAGACCCTGGGTTCGGTCCTTAGCTCGGGAAAAAACCGAAACAAACAAAACATACCAGTGCATGCCTACACACACACACACACACACACACACTCACACTCACACTCACACTCACACACTCACTCACACATACACAGACAAAAGTAAGATATAAACAGTAAATTAAAAAATTGCTTCATGTCTTTAATTCCAGAAATGAGACACATCTTAAAACAAAAGTATCACAACAACAATTAAAACAAAAGACATGGTATATTAAGTACCTTTCTTGTTGATGTGACAGTGATAAATAAAATATGCAATAAAAGCAGTTTGAGAAAGGGTATGTTACTTGATATTATACTTTAGAGAATATAGTTCGTCATGATGGGGAAGGCGTTGCAGTGGTAGCATGAGGCAGCTGGATACATTGCATCTGGAATCAGAAGGGAGGAAGACAGATGCTGGTGCTTAGTGTTTTTCTCTTCATTCAGTCAGGGAGCCCAGCACATGCGGTGCTGCTCTCCACCGTTAGCTTCCATCTCCACTGTAACTGTTCTGGAAATACCCTCATTGACATACCCAGATGTGGGTTTCCATCTTGATTCTGATTTAGTCAGGCTGACAATGAAGATTAACTATAAGATATGGAGAGTCTTTTTCTACCTCCCTCTCTTCCACGCTTCCTTTCTTTCTCCTCCTCTTACTCTTCCTTAACCTTTCTTCTGTTGCTGGTTTTTGAGACAGGCTCTCACTGTAACCCTGGCTGGCCTGGAATTCTTTACATAGACAAGGCTGGCTTTGAACTCCCAGAGATACCAGAGGTCCACCTGCCTCTGCCTCCTTGAGTGCTGATGTTAAAGGTATGCACCACCACACCTGGTTTTTGTTTTTCTTTTTTTAGTATTTTTGGAGAGCCTTAAACTTTAGCATGGTTAAAGCACTAGTTGGTTTTATTTAGTTACTAGTTTTGAGGTATTGGTTATTAGTTATACCACTTTAGTTTAATACTTAGAATTCTCTTTCCTTCCTCCCTCTCTCTTTCTCTTCTTTCTTTCCTTCCCTCCCTTCCCTTTCTCTGTTCCTTCGCTCCCACTCTTTCTCCCTCCCTCCCTTCCTTCCCTTCCTTTCCTCCCTTCCTTCCTTCCCTTTCCTTTTTTGAGACAGGGTTTCTCTGTTTTGGCCCTGGCTGTTCTGGAACTCACTCTGTAGACCAGGCTGGCCTTGAACTTACAGAGATCTGACTGCCTCTGTCTCCCCAATGCTGGGTTAAAGTTGTGTGTCACTGCTGCCCAGTTATTAGGTTTCTTTATCCATATGCTATTCCATCTTCAAAACAAGTTTCCTATATTCTTTTTAGCTAGGATAGATAGAAGCTAGAACAGGAGGATGTGGCGTATAAATGGTGAGGGTTTGATGCTGTGCAGTAAAGGAGTTTAAAGATTAGGAGTTTCAGGCTTTTTTTTTTTTTTAAAGAGGAGCAACTAGAATTTGTGATCACTTGTCAGTCATTGAACCCTAGCTAAGTCTTGGAACTCTGTTGTTGGTTGGTTGGTTGGTTGGTTTAGTAAGCTTTTATATATTCAAGTAATTGTCTCTTTAGTTACAAAACTCAGTTGGAAGCCAGCCATTAATAACTATTCTTGCTTTATAGTTGAGCTATCATAACATAGCTGCTCGCTACCATTTGTTTTGTTATGAGAATAGTGATCTCTGTTTAGTGGTTCAGCAGAGCTGTCAATAGAGTGCTAAGAGTTTATTGCATTTGAGAAACTTTCCTTGACTTTCTTTGTATAAATAACTTTGAAAAGGTAAAAGCTATTTTGCCAAATGCCAAACTCTCTCAATAGCTTTTAAAAGAGCTGAATTTGTTAGAATGAGTCTTTAGTAAGCACTTTAAAAAATTTAAATATTAAAATATTTGAGTACCATGAGTGCCACTGGAAAAAGATGAGAGGAGTTTTAAAAAAGAGACAAGTAGGTGGTTAATTTGAAAGAGTTCATAGTACTACTATCTTTTTATGTGTTAAAATTATTCCATACTTAATTCAATTAAACATAACAATGCTATACATTCCAGAGTGGTGACAGTAGTTGACTAAATCACATGTCGGTTTTCCAAATGTATCATTCCCAACAAACCCAGATCCCTCCCAGACCTATTTTAGGCCCCTTTTAAAAAATCCATTAACAGGAATATTTGGTTGTAATGCAGATTTGTGCTGCCTATTTCAAGATGGGACACAGTGAATCTGAGCTGGCTTTTATAATCTTTTCACTCCCTCTTCCCCTAAGATTTCTGAGTCTTCGGTGCAGTAGCTGTGTTGTAGGTATCATCTGGGGCTGGACAACACACAGTTACTTGTTCTCTGCATTTTGATCAGTTGTGGTTTTCTGTAATGGTTTCTGTTGTTTGAGAAGTTTTCTTAATGAGCGGTTGAGGACTAAACTTACTTGTGGGTATAAGAATAGATTTTTAGAATTTATTTAGGGATTAGTCAAGTGTCTTGAAGGTTAGGTTCTCCTTCAAGACCCACAACTTTGCTAGCCCCTGGTAGTTGTCTAGGTTTCCAGTACCAGGTATGATTTCCCTCCTTTTGAGCAGAATCTTAAATCCAAATAGAAAGCCAGAGTTTAAGTGTCACTATTGCACCTTTAGGGATATAGTGCTATGCTCTTCCTTGTTTTAGTTCATAGGCATAATAGCTAGGTAGCACTGTTTGTTGCTTCTCTCTCTTAGACACTTGGATGGCACCTTTTGAACTACTCCTCAGGAAGGAGGCTTTTAGGTCAGAACCAGCTCAGATTCACTGTCCTGTGTTCAAAGTGAAAGGTGTCTTCAGCAAGAAAAGGCTTGCCTTTCACCTCTAAGAGATAATCAAGGGCAACAGCAGTAACATGTTTTGGGATTATTCTTAGATAACCCTGAACAAGAGCTCAAAAGTAGGATTCTCCCACCTGTTCTTAAATAACAGTACTATAGTAAGACTTTCTTAGACCTGCCAGCAGAAAAATAAAAACACAGAGACTTACTTTTATTTATAAAAACTTAAGCACTATAGCTGGGCAGATTCTCAGCAATTTTTTTTTAATATTTATTTGTTTATTATGTATACAATGTACTTGCACGTACACCTGCATGCCAGAGGAGGGCACCAGATCTCATTATAGATGTTTGTGAGCCACCATGTGGTTGCTGGGAATTGAACTCAGGACCTCTGGAGGAGCAGTCAGTGCTTTTAACCTCTGAGCCATCTCTCCAGCCCGATTCTCAGCAATTTTAACCCGACTAATCCTGACTTACATCCCATCTCATGGCCCATTACCCTCTCTCACTCAGTCCTGGCACCTGTTCCTTCCTGTGTCACACAACCCTCTCAGCCCAGAAGTCCCACCTTTCCTTGCCTGCCTAGCTATTGGCCATCAGCTCATTATTAAGCCGCTCAAAAGGAAAGAGGAATGTTTACAAAATATCATACAGATGATGAGCCATAAGAGTAACAGTACTAAAGTCTGGCCAGCACTTAGCTCTCTCCCTGGTTAACAAGTAACAGTTGACTATACAGAGACACCCTTCACACAGTGTACAAATGATTACCCCAACAAATATTATTTAATAATGTAATATATAACAAATTATTACTATTGTTATTGTTGTCTATGGCTCTTGGAGGGGAGCATTGTCAGCCCAGGTGGGAAATGTTATTTAAACTGTATGTATATAGCATACATAGGCTTGTATGTATTATATGTGATTTAAGTTGAAGGATGATTCCTTATGTTTTTTTTTAGATATCCTTCCTAATATTTTACCCACCTCTTCCCTTTTCTGTATTAATTTCCCTCTGCTTCTCTAATTAGAGCTCTCACCTTTTTTTTTCATTTCCCTTTTCAAGTCACTTGTACCCTGATATTCCCTTCTGTTCTCTCTCTCCACTCCATGTTTCCTTTTAACTTCCAGTAATCTTTTTAAAAATAAAAATTTCTTTTAGCAGCTTCATTTTTATTAATCATCTTTTCATTTAATTTGAAAAATAAATTGACACCAGCAGTGTGCTGATTGTCTAGTGACTGGTCTCTAACAGATAATACACGTGGAGCTATCTGCTTGTCAAGACTTTCTTGTGCCTGTTTCACTACAGTTATGACAGATGTGCAGTTTAGTTAAATGTAAGTAAATATGTTAATATTAATATAAAAAAGTATGTAACTGCTTTCAGTATACTAAAAGTTGTGGTCAGTTAGTT